AACTGCAGTTCTGATGTAATGCCATAGCCTGGGAGAACAGACCGATAAGCACAGATCACACAAGGACAGAGCACTCTGCCTCAGAACATGCAATCCATTTCTATTGATGCTTATGGAAAAACATTGCTCCTCCATGAAATATAATAGATGGAATATTTCAAAAAAGATCCATGAATATGTGTCTGCTTTGAATCGGGGCAAGAAAAAAGCTGAGGCATGGAAAATCTAGCAGTGTCTATTATCCTCAGAGTTCCTCAGTTTTATATCATCTTTAATCATCATGCTCAAGTTGCTTAGAGATATAGCATAGGAAGTATCAAAAAATAGTGAAAGCATCAAAGATTTGTTAACCTGCTAGAGGTAGTCTGTGAGAACCACAGAAAAATCAAATTAAGTCCTCTTCAAGCAATACAGTGCCAGTGAAATCAGAGTAGTTTGCTTCAGCTTTACAATTTCATGTTGTTCTGAAAGCTACGTTCCCTGTGGAAATCAGGAGATCTTATGGAGAACAAATTAGTAAAATAGCAGAGAAACTAAAAAGAGAAAAACAATAAAAGGAATCACTTTGCTGAAATACCAATAGAAGCTCCAAAACACAGGACTGCTTCTGAACAAACTCATGAACATTTCCAGGGCCCTGGCAGGTTTCAGTGCAATACTTGCTCAAATTTCTCTGACTAGCTTTATAAAATTTAAGATCTTGAGGAACCAAATGTAACCCAAACACACAAAAAAAGCTTTACTTTTTCTGCAAGGCCAGCATTACTGCCTCTTCCTTTCACTCTTCTCCCCTCATTCGAGTCGTTTACTACTGTGTCAGAACCAACACACAATCACAGCCACCCACTGGCTGTTCCCCTATCACTCCACTACTGTCAAGCCAACTGCAGTACATTTACTAAATGCATAAAACAATCTTAAAGAAAGTCAGCTTTTACATTTACTATCATACTAGATCTACTGTTCATAGATCCTAAAACACCACCAGCACTGGAGCAAAAGCACAGTCCGCAAAGCTCTAACCATAGGACAAGCTCTTGCTGACCAGCTCATTCCCAGCAGAAGCTCCCTGCTTTCATCCAAGAATGGCTTTAATTTTCATCAGCAAAACAATGTGACACAAAATTAAATGCATAAACCACATCCTGCTGTCTGCCATACCCTAAAAGTTCTTGTAAAAGCTCTGGTCCTGCCCATAGAGAAAGTACTCCCACCCAGCACATCTTCCAGCCAACGCTGGAAACCATTACAAAGGCCCTCGCAGTCGTGCAGGAGAGCTTACTGACCTCTTCCATTAATTTGGCATTCATTAGCCTCATCTTGAGATTAGGGGACCTCGGATTATCACTTAATTCTGCCTCAAACAGATAATTTCAGAGGCAGCAAATTAGTCATACTGATGACTAAATTCCTCTAAGAGGCCAGTCCAAGTTGTGACATAGGCTCTTGGCTGCACTCATCTCCCTGGCTTGCAGAGCAGAAGAGACCACTGCCATTTCACATCTGTTTGTCGGTATTTCTGAGATTATTTAATCATGTCAGCCCAGTCAAGTCACATCACAAGACTAATCAACAGAGCTGGCCCTAACTGGCCTTGGAAGAGAGGCTGAAGTCAAGCAAAAATTACCCTCCAGGGGAAAATAAAAGTTCTTCAGTGCCATTTTAATCAGCAGTGTGTTACTACTCTGAAAAATGAGAGCATTTGTAAAACCCCGATGCAAGAATGACTTGTGGGAAGAAGAGGTGACTAAGGAATTAAACTATCCACTGGAGAGCAAATGGTGGTTTGCTGGCTCCGCTGGGAACAAAAGGTCTACAGCTCACTGCCCGAACACGAGGAGGACATGACTTGCTGTTGGTATTTCCATGAAAGCTGTGATATGATTCATTGGCTTTGCTGGCCCCTCTCCACCCTCCCTTCCCCCCACAGCATCATTAAACTCATCTGTTCCCCTGAGCTCTTGCTTGGCAGAAATGGCATGCTGACATACAACAGAGTTAAAATGAATGGCTCCCATGTTTAGAAGAAAGGAAGAGAAGCGTGTGAGAGACTAAAGAGAGCACCCAGCAAAGATCTGACTATGCAGCTCAAAGAAAGAAAGAAATAATAAGAAATAATACATTTCTACAATACAGAGACTTCCATGATAAAGGGTATATTTTACAAACTATTTATCCTACAGTGAAGAATCCCTTCCTCAAACAGAAAATGAAGCCACCCCTAGGCCAGGGCAAAACGGACCTAAGAAAACAGAACAATACTGGCTTAGTGTGTGCACTGACATTTGATATTCTCATCCAAGCCGTGTAAGCATGTTTTACAAACAAGCACAGTCCCAAAAAAAGTCTAACCCTTGGATAACCCCACCCGTCACCTTGTTCCAACTAGAGAAGTTAACATTTCCCATTCAACTGCTACTTTCAAGAAAATTTTTGTATGTATTGAGCCATTTTTTCCACCTCTTCCCAAGGAGATTAATCATCACATCACCTGCAGATGTTTAGAGGATAAACAAAACGCCACCATCGCCGTATCAACCAATGTCAAAGGATCTGAGCACTCCTGTTCAGAAATACACAGGCTGCCTCGCTGTTTCCAAGGCAAACTAGTGTTTGAAATGCTGCTTCTCTTAATAAATATTGGTGTGCTGGATAACATTGTATTCTTCCACACAACTCCCACGAAGCTTTTTCACAGGTGCTCTGGCCTGTGTATACACGAATGGCTCCTTTAGCTTGAGGCAGCCAGGCTCAGAAGCAGAAAACTAACTCTACTGATGAACTGCAGCAGTATCCACTGTTGTTTTACATCTTTTTCTGTACTGCTTCATAGGTGTTTTCATTCTAAAACCTCCATGTGCTTTATACGAATATTGAGAGCACTCACATATAGCAGGAAAAGCGACCACATTCCAAGAAGGAAAGTTTGGGCAAACAAGTGGTGCAAACTTAGGTCATACACCACAAAAGTTCTTGCAAACGATTGTAAAAACGGTTTAAAGTAAGTTTTAAATTAAAAGTCAGGAAAAGCCTGTAGAATCTAGCATTATTACAATCTCCTCAACTCCTTTCTAGACAATTTTACGCTCTTACTTACAGTATCACAGTTATTCTAGATATAGGTATTCCTGAACAGGATCTTATTTAAGTTCATCCAAGCAGACACAAAGCCCAAGGTAGACACTTCCAGGTATCACATTCTAATGTGAAAAATAAGTGTTCGACTCCTAGTCGTCAAAAATCAACACCAGTTCTGTTGCAGATGTCTTGACATTATCCCCTGAATTCCAAACCATGAGCTCTCACACACAAGGAATATGTTGTCAGAATTTATTCTATCAGCAGTGATATTCTTGGAACTTTTTTCATGATTAAACAGTCTCGAGCTTGTAGTTCAACGCAAAATGCTCCGCGTTTCTCAGTGATATTCATACCTTACAAAAACAGTGAGCACATTAAAACATGACCTAGTGCAGCCCACATTTAAAAACTGAGTTGTAAAACTGTAGGTGCAACAGAAGCATAACTCTTTCCTCTTCAGTTAAAAAAAAAATAAGTCATAGGAAAAGAGAAAACAAAGGATGAAAGAGATTTTCAAAACCCACAGGGGGTCTGCACACTCATTTATCATCTGCGTTAACAGTAATAAGCTGCGCAAATCCCACCACTAGCCCTGCAAAATCAGAGACAGTGTTCTCATATGTGATCAGAATTCAGCACTGTACATCCCCATGCCATTATCCATCTCTCCTTTAGTTTATCGTCACTATTATTCCCTCCTCAAACAACAGTAACGTGGTTTTTTCCAGCAAGACCTCTATAGCTGGCAGTGGCCAGTGAAATACAGATGTCACAGCCGGCCCGGGGATGTAGGCAGCCATACTTTCCAGCCTAAAGTTTAACTTTCCCCTAGGGCAGCATTTCTTCTGGTGACTGGATACTGGCAGCTTTTGTGTTCTTCATTAGGCTGCTGATTAACGCAGTGCTAGAGAGTTCTCCTCTACACCTCACTGCTGGTCCAGCACTCTATTGTGAGAGATCCTAGAGCAGCAATGCAGCTGTGTTCGCCTCTTGCTTTTCGTCACAATACTAGAGATCGGGTACAGATGTATTTGCTTTTAAAACAATAACTACATATCCAATCCAAAGTTATAAAGAAATCCTGACCAAGCAGTAACAACTTTAATGAAATTTTCTGAATGAAATTCCCATGGCAACAGTAAGAAACAGAGTGCCAGGAAATACAACCGATTCCAGTTTTCTGTACGGTAAAGGGTTCCAAGCTTGAACATAAAGAAATAAACAGCAGAAATCAGCAGCCACACCATTTTTTCCTCATTCAGCATTTGAGAAACAAGCAAAATAAATCAAAAGGCAGCCAAAACAGTACCACGGCATCAGAAAAAAATTACTAACCCTCCTAGTGTACAGACATTTGGCATAAGGGGAATGAGATATACCTGATACTGGCTCTTGGCTTTCTATAAAATCTGCTGCTGATTAACATGCAAAGCACTACACTTCTGGAAGGACAATGGTGGGAAGACCTTCCACAAAGGCATCATTTTAAATTCTAAGGCCTAGAACATTTCAGGCCTCAGGCCACGAACAATGGTAAAGGCTAACACAGGCAAGCTGCGGATCCTGCCAAGTTGTACGTACAGCGCTAGATAGGCTTTGTAACTTTTCAGCTGCATCATGCAGACTCTGTAAAATAGTATCTGTCAAGCATTAAGGCCCCTCCCTTGTAGGCATTTCTGTTCCAACCAAATGATTTCTTTCAGAAAAGCTTCCCTAAGGACGGTGCTGCGATCTCAGGTACGGAGCAGTAACAAGCACCAGGTAACCAGCAGTAATTTCTCTATCAGGCTCGGAGGCATCAGCGTGAGCTGTGCCAGCAACCTCCGCTTCCGCTCAGCGGGACACCGCGGTGAAAGCCCCGGAGAACAAAACCCATCCCTGCAGCACCAGCCCCGGCGCTTCGCCCGCTCCCTACAGACCTTGATCGTGCTCCTCCGTTCGCCCAGGCTGGTTGCCCATCTTCGGTCACTCCCCCAGGATCCTCTAGGACCCCAACGCCTCGCTCATGCCCGGTGCCGGCGGCGGACCTGCCCCTGTCTGCTTTTCCCGTCCGCGCTTCAGGCAACTTCAACGGGGAGAAAGAAGTCAGCTCCTTCCTCGTTCCCGGGCCCAGGAACAGAGCCGGCTGCTCATGCTGGAGCAGCTGCGGCTCTCCCTCCTACCTCATTACAATATTATGCACCGAAGGCCGGCCTGGGCAGTTAATTAGCCGCCTGATTGCTGGAATAAAAGGAGGGGGAGAAAGAGGCAGAGAAAGGGCGAGCGGCTGAAGGCGGAGAGCCTCGCCGAGCGCCGGGAGCCGCCCAGGGGCGCCGAGCTGAACTGCAGCCGGTTCGGGGAGAGGCGCTGGAGGTATCCGGCCCCGCTGGAGCCAGGAACCAAGCGCCAGTACGGAGAACTTCGCTTGGAAACGGTAGCAGGGCCTTTGGTGCCCCAAGAGGGGGAGACGGATGAGGGGCCAGGGGCTGGTTCTAGACCATACACCGTCAAATTTCAAAACTAGGCCCTGAAATGCAACTGGGAGTGAGGAAGAGCAGAAGGACCCTCAGCAAAGAGCTGCCAAATGCCGCCAAAGCAAAGACAAACTTCATTTTGCCCCAGTTCACAACACCCAAAGCAGGCTTACCATGGAGCAAACAGGTCCTGCTCACAGATCCAAGTACACTGCTGAGCAGAGATACACTTACTCATCTGGTTAATGATGGCTCTTAACTAAGCTGTCACAAGAATTAGGGGACCCAATTTCAGAAATGCTCAGCGTCTTCTGAAAACTTAAATAAGTAAAAGATAACTGAAATGGAGATTGAACTCCTCTGAAAACCTGGTCATGAGCATAAGTTGCTTCTGGAAAGCCTTGTCTATCAGATTTGTTCCCACACCCTCTAGGGCTAGTCCTGGGTAAGCTTGAGCATTCCCAGCACATTGCAAGTTAACATAAATATTGTAAAAACAATCTACAGGACACACTGAATGCTATTAAAACCTAATTCTCTTTGTTGAGGTAAGGACATGGTGTTTTGGTATTCCTAAAAAACAATTAGTTATTTCCAAAATTCCCCTCATGCTAGTTCCTCACAGGGACTGAAAAAACCCAACCAAACCTGAGAGCCACTACTTCATCTAGCAGCTGCAACCACAGATATGATCTACATACTGCATCTCTGTCATCAGGATTTTTGACTGTGACTTGTACTGCAAGAGCAGCTGCACAAGGCAGGCCTACCCACAGAGTCAGCCCAACAACCCGTCTTTCAAAGAGAGAAATCAGGATGCTCCTCACTAATGAGGCCATGATGTATGTGGGAAACAAGAATACCAAATTACTCCAGTCATGTTTCCATTACATGTTTAATTAACAAAATCTTCTTCTTAAAGTCTTGGCTTCAACAAGAGAGTTAAAAATAAATTCAGAAATAAAACAAATATGTGTCCTAGGCTCAAAACAGATTGAAAATAAAAGATACAGAAATTAAGACACAATTTGATCTAGCTACTTGTGAAGCCATTGTTTCAAAGAAAGACTGGAGATAATTCAATACAATAGAGACAGAATTTTGCTAATACTTCAGTACAATAGGGTGAGTTAGTTGTCAATCTTCAATTTTTCATTGTTCTTACTCTGACACTTTATGGATAAAGCTAAAAGTTTTCATACAGCTGTCTATATTTAAATGAATAAATTAAACAAAACTCCTGTCTACTTCTGTCTTATGACATGCTAAGTATAAAATGCTTTGTCTAATGAATAAACATTTAAGTTCTATGTAAAAGGACCATTGATAGTGTATTCTTTTCTAAAGACCATCTTATGGTTTCCTAAATGCTGCATCAGCTTGCCTTCCTCAAAGGTACAGATACAAACATCCTCCAACTGCTGTTGAAATGTATGTCAAGAGAGAGATTTTCTATTACAGACTAAAGAGCGACTTCTGCTTTTCTTCAACAGGCTCCACCAGAGGGACTGCATTAGCCAAGATAATCTCCTGGGTTGATGAATCCTGACACTGAGCATTTATTATTTCAACACCTGCTCTCTGTTTCTGTAAGAGAAAAGGGAATAGTGCAACAGGGTCCCAGTACAGCATGGGGTGCAAGCCTGGAGTAATTATAAAACGTAATCACCGAGTCAGAGCAAACACACCTGAAACCTGAGCACTGAGAAGAGTCACAACTGGAAGAACCAATCTGTTCTTTTTGACAATGGCACGAAACAGAAGTCAGAACATTTTAACACCACGATAGGGAGAATGATGTCAGGCAAAAGACTTCTAGCCCAAGTCCACAGTGAAATGGAAGGTATGAATTTTAAATTACAACTAGCCTGAGCAGAACTCATGGAGAAGAGATTACTGTTCACGGAGCCCAGAGCTCAGACTGAGGAAAAGGAAAAAGGAATAATAACAAGCACAGTGAGTAGGTAATAGATTATGAGAGATGCATGGCTAAATCTTTACACAACTACTTATTATCTGAACTTTTTACATTATTTTCCCTTCCTCATCAGTAATAAAGGTATAAAAATAAGTGAATGAACAATTTCATCTCTACAGAGTAGGCTGGCTGGTTTCTTCATAGGCACGAAGGTTGACTATCAATTTGCACTACCCACTTGTGAGACTGCCAATAAAACACCACAAACACCCCTTTTCTATATAGTGAGAATGGGAATGAATTACTGAAGGTGTGACATGCATAATTCTTTCGACTCACTAGTCAAGTGACAGGACTTATTTGCCAGACAACCTTTCCTCAGACCTTACTCTTACCACACAGCACATTCATTAGCATCGCTTCTGAAAGGTCAAATTGTAATTCATCTTCAAAAGAAAAAGCATGTTCTCAAATTTCCAGATAAGTGACAGTCTTTTCAGAAAGCAACATCTGAAGAAGTTACAGATGCTGACCAGGACCTCCAGGGGCAGGACCTTCTGGCAAAGACTGAACTAAACTAAATGGGCCTGAAGGGCAGACTCTATTGGTATCAGAATTCACACTATCATGATCTACTTCCATTAGTGATAAGGATTTTCTGAGCGTTATGTACATACATAGAGGGGGAAGAAATCTACAAAAATATGTGTATTATGTACAGTAGTGGACCCCAAAGGATTAGGAATAATAGCATCTATGTTGAAACTGAGAAGAAAGAGCAAGTTTATTTTTAAACATGCTAAAAATCTTTCTTTTCGTTGTGAGGACACTGGGTGAGGTCAGAGTTAAGTTCATGGCACAGAACTGCAGCCTTCCAGGAACCCATCTGAGGTGTTGCTGTCAATCCCTCCCTCTTATTTACAGTATTAAAATGTAATGTAAGCCAAAAGCTGCTGAAAAAAACAGCGGGGGGGAGGGGGGGAAGAACAAGAAGACAAGGAATGCCAAGCCCTCTCCTGCTGCACATACTTGTTAGACCAGGCCAGCTCTGCATTCCTTTCTTGCGCTCCCTCCCGTTCTTTAAGTGCAAACACAATGGCACTGGGCCAAGGCATTTTGGCTCAGATACTTTTAGGCCTACAGAATTTGTGTAAAGGATCATTTATCTTCAAGCCAGCTGAAGGAAAGCTTATAATTAACCTAGGGCAGGTAGTCAGCACAAGGTTGTGTTGACTTTGCTTAACAACTTCACTAGAGAAGTCTGAAAAGAAATGAAAACAAAGTGAGAGATCACAGATTTGTGCTATTCCTGGACCATCCAAGCATGCTCCCCTTTCTGTTTAGGTATCCCTAGCAAGGCTTTTGTGATCATCACAGTTGGCTTACAGCTGTAACGGATCTTCCCGGTATGTGTTGGCTTAAGCCAATTAACTGTCAACAATTTAATGAGTTAAGTCATTACAGTTTTTAGGATTTAGCATTTCAGTATCCCTACCACACACTGAATCCTCTTAACTGGCTCAGGTCCCAGGGTGGCAAACCTGTGCCAACAAAGTCGTTCTCAGGAGAACACACAACAGAGAAAAGGGGCTCTATGTCACAGGTGGTTTTAACAAGAAGTTGCATGCAAAATCTTACAGTGTGCTAATAGTGCAGTAAATGTATATAGAGCAGCAGATTAAGAAAGCAACAAAACTAAAAAAGGTACATGTTGCAGACAGTGCTGTCAGCAGAAGTTAATTCTTACTCCCAGTGCCCTCTCATACTCCCCAGTGCCCTTGCAGTCCTCCCCAATATCCTCCCAGTATGGCCTAGTGCCCTGACAGTTCTGCCCAGTGGCCCTCAGTGTCCTCCCAGTTCCCAAGCCAATCCCCCCAGTCCATGCAATGGTAACCATGGCACCCCATAACCATGGCAACCAGTAACCATGGCAACCAGCTGTGAATGCCTCACAAAGAAACTGTTATCGTTAATAGGATCAGGTATCAGAAATCCCAACAGGCAGTCGCTGAAACGCATGGCTCCCACTCCATTCCCAGTTATGGAAGAAGGTTCAGACATCGCAGCCAACAGACCAAAAGAATAATTACGTCAGTAAACCTTCATGTGCCACCTCCAGAACAAGAAGAGAGCATCCACCAATAGATCCCTCTAGTTCAAGGAACCACGGGACTGAGATCTTGAGCCAACCCGTATCAGCTTAATGATAAGACTATTGCTATTTTTTCATTAAGAGCTACTGAGCTCCTCCTGCCTACTGGAATAATTGTCTTTTCCAATTAAAATATCATATTAGAGAATATTTTAACATCTTTATCAAAGGGGTAAAAGAATCCCAAACAGTCCTGTGAAGCAGTGCTCATTCCAAGCCATTCTAAGATGTGGAACTGCCCATGGGTTACAGAAAGAAGGAGCAAAGATTAGAAGAAAATGTAAAGTTAACGTGACAACAAACACCATACAGGAACCTCTTCAGCAAAGGCACCAGAAGTGAACATATGCATTTGAGTACACTATCACAAGAAGGAAAATCATTGTAAGAAGAAATAAGGGAAGCTTGACAAGTAGCTGCCATAAACTAAATCTGAAATGCCAAATCCGATTTACCTCAACTCGAGCTTTCACTTTAGAGGTTAGTGGGTGAAATCTTCTAAAACAGTGCTGGAATTTGGTCTGATTACTTGATACCTGGGGAAATCATAGCTAGACGAAATATTTTGCTAAGTGATGTCAGAGAGGTTAAGGTTCAGGTTCCCAATTCCACCAGTGTGCTACAAACGCCCGTGCAGATATGCATAAGTGTGTGGATACGTCAATACACATATCCAGCTACATGTAA